ATATGTGCATATAAGCTTGCAAATATAGATAATTTTTCATTCCTGATGATGACATAATTAATGTCTAAATATTGAATCCCGACACGATGCCATGCATTTCGATACTTGGAGTATGTATTATACTATCTTACCTGAGAATAATCAGTGGACCTTTTCGGTAGAGTATTAGTTGTAAAAGTTTATATATTATATATAATATTTTACAATCCCTATCCATAATGACCAAGCTTGAAGTACTAGACCTACTGTAATATAGTCATATAACAACATGTTTAGATTTGAATATAAATATATATATAATAATAAATTAATTTGAAACTTTAATTTTTACTGTATATGCAAATGTTTCTTCATTTGTGCATTTCATTATTTCCTTTTTTTTTTAAAGAAAAATATGGAATTTTGGCTGTTTTTCTGCACATTTATGTGCGCACATCTTAATCTAGTCTCCAGTACGGTTGCAGCCACATCAACTCCACCACCAACAGTCTCCAGTACAGTTACATCTAATGCAGCCACAACAACACCATCACCAACAGTCTCCAGTACGGTTACAACTAATGCAGCCACGACAACACCATCACCAACAGTCTCCAGTATGGTTACAACTAATGCAGCCACATCAACACCATCACTAACAGTTTGCAATACGATTACAACTATTGCAGCCACAACTCCATCACCAACAGTCTCCAGTACGGTTACAACTATTGCAGCCACATCAACACTATCACCAACAGTCTCAAGTACGCTTACAGCTACTGCAGCCACAACAACACCACCACTGACAGTCTCCTGTACGGTTACAGCTATTGCAGCCACAACACCACCAATGTCAGCAGTCTCCAGTACGCATACAACTATTGCAGCCACATCAACACCATCAACACAGTCAGTGACAGTCTGTAGTACGATTACAACTATTGCAGACACTACAGCACCGCCTGTATTAACAGACAGCAAAACGGAGTCGAACGACATCAAACAATTACAAGACACTGAAAAATTATCCGAGGGATTATCTGATGCTGCTATCGCCGGCATTAGTTTTGCTGCAGTATTTCTTTGCGGTTGCGGGGGTTGCGGGATTGTGATTGGTGTACTTTGTTATAAAGTAAAGAGAAATGTGGGCCCCGATACTACCGTGAGGCTAAAAGACTTAACTTAGAAGCTCAAATACTATGTACAAAAGATTTTAAACCCAGAATATACTAGATACGTTAAACATTTGGTCAGTGGCGTAATGATGAGTCATTGCGGAGGGAAGGGAGAATGCTTGAAACCCCCTTGCATATCAATAAAGTACAGTATTTCGCTCGCAAAGTGACCAGGGTGGGTAGGCCTTATCGCCCATGGAGATTGTTAAAAGAGAACTAGCAAAATGATTTTTTGTTCTAGAGAAGATTTTTGATATGCCATTAATAATA